ACAACACACCCTTAAGTGTGTAATATCAGAGTTTTTTAGTTTAAGGGCAAAACAGGTTTAACTGGCAGGAGGCGCTGTCGGGACGGTTGAAACAAGTGTCCTATCTTCATTTATCGTCTTCCGGTTGACCTCATTTTCTTCATAATAACAGGCTATTCAACTAGAAAACACTCAATATGACTCAAGGAAGACATTTAAGAAAATGAATTGTAAACGGATTTGTCTGTCTTCGTCAAAATAGCCTATTAGAAAGATTACGCAAAATGCGCATAGGCTTATCGCCTATTGTTTATTGGGCGACAGAACAATCGTCTGAAACAAAGCACAACTACCGTTCAAAGTACATTTTTACTTAAATCATTCTATATTTGTACCGAATAACACATGATACGAAGAGAACACATATGTGAGTTGTTGATCACACACACAAAAAAATTATATCTTTGACCTTATCTTAGAAAACAACGTTTATCTGAAAAGTGTTTCAACTGTCCCGGCTCTCCCCTATTAATACTGCTATATAAATCACCCAGTCCCAATGGCCTAAGACCTCAATACATTGCACATATGCTCACTGAATATAAACCTAACAGATCACTCAGATCATTAGGGTCACATCAGCTAGAAATACCAAGGGTTCACTCAAAGCAAGGAGAGTCTGCTTTTAGCCGCTGCTGGATCCAGCTTCCAGAGATCAGATGTGCTCCTACAGTAGTCACATTCAAATCCAGACTCAAAACACTTCTGTTTAGCTGTGCATTTACTGAATGAGTACTGTGCCACTGTACCTACGACTGATTACACTATTTTATTTTCGCATCCTCCTTTTGATACTAAACTGAACTCGAATGGCACTGAGAATTGGGTAAGAGAGATGAAACCATGCTGATGACCTGGGTCTGTGTTGGAGTAGTGAGTTTGATGAGTAATTACACTCGAGGTTCTGTGGGGTGCGGACTGGATCCATTCCATTCCTAGAGCTTCGAACAAATCTTTGGAGTGTGGACTGATGGGGCAGTGAACCCGAGGTTATACCCCGTGAGTCAGTCAGAGTTCCTCCTGTCCGATTTTAGGGAAAAATCAGGTCCATCGGAGACGTCCAATAGATTTCTTAGGCGTGCCAAGAGAACACCACAGACACAGTGTAATCACCATGGGGAAATCTCAGAGTAAAACTGGGAGTTGTGAAAAATATGATACACTGGTGTTTTGCCAGATGAGAAGTTTATCTATCATCTTTTTTACTCTTTTAATTAATTTGTATTATGTTGGTTGTTGTACATATCATACCATTTGGAAATGAAATGTTTGTTGAGTGGCGCTAAAAGGTTATGCTCTGTCATGTTTGCAAATAACGTAGCTTCATTAAACCCTATACCTTAAATGTTATTGATAGTGTTACCAAAAGCAAATAGGCTATGAGAGAATTTTTTTATTATGACTCATGTTTCACGCGACTCTTACTCGAGTGCTCTGTGTCACAATGCAATAGGCTTTATGCACAGCTGCACTACTTCCTGAACTTCAGCCAGCTCCTTTGTTTCCTGTCTGCCATTATTGAACAGACTGATTAATCCAGGTGTGCCTGACCAGTAACAAATACCAGACACACCTGGGTTAATCAGTTTGTCCAATAATGGCAGACAGGAAACAAAGGAGCTGGCTGAAGTTCAGGAAGTAGTGCAGCTGTGCATAAAGCCTATTATGGTGCGCTCACGCCATGATGTCATAATTACCGTAATTACAAGATTTCAACTTGTAAAAAGCGTTCATGTCCTCATAGAGCTCGTAATTACATTTAGTAAGCTGGAAATTATCCAAGAGCTCCTACTTGTACCACATGACCGCTGTAACACTACACCTGCAGATTAATTTGTCACTTTTCCACTGCATACGGCTGCTTACTTTACTTTGGCCCGGTTTGCTTTTCCACTGTAGTTTAGTACCGCTTCAAAGTGGGTGGGATTATAGACTGATCGTTATAGTTGCGCCAAATCCAAATGACGCAAATCCAATGACGCTGGTACTAGTGACGTTTCTCTCTGCAGTGTTTATACGTCACATTTTATTGTCAGTACGGCTCACTTGAACCTCAACCGGGGTGGTACTAGCTAGGTACTGCACACAATGGAACCCAAAATCACTTTGCAGTGTGAAGGTTTGGGTTGAATTGATTGCAGAAGTTTAATGCCTAATGCACAAACCTGAAGGTTTGAGAAATATCAACATGGTAAGAATCAATTGTTTGGGCAATATCACTCATTTTTATATTACTGCTATTGTCCCTACATTTAAGAAAAGTAAAATCAAAGCTTACTTGGCCTATATTTAAACTTCTTCAAATTCACCTGTCTGGGTATGTGTCATGATACAACCGGACACGGAAAGATCCAAACGTAGTCAGGGTAGTCGGACAGGCAATGGTCACAGACAGCAGACACATAGGAGACAAGGCAAAATCGTGGTCAGTAAACAGGCAGAATACAGGAACCAGGCAGGAGATCAGACAAGGTCACGACAGGCAGGAATATATTCAAGACTACGCCAATGGGTGATACTGACAGTGAGGTTTAAGTGGAGCTGCGTGTGGAACAAGATGCAGGTGTGACGGTGATCAATGGAAACAGGTGTGTGCGTAATCAGTCCAGGGTGTGTGCGTGAACAGTCCAAGGGAAGGCAGTGCAGAAGTGGAGCACCCTCTCGTGGCACTCGAGGGCAATCCAGCCGATCATCGTCACAGTGTGATTGGATCTGCCTCTGCTCTTAAATTACATTTGTCAAACTAATTTGTTTTTTAAGCATAAGCCTTTAGTTTTGGCCAAAAGGTCTTGAGGATTATGAGAAACAATTTCAATCAAACTTTTGACTAGTACTGTATCTCTTCTAAAGGATAATATTTGAGATAATTAATGTATCTCATACAGTCATATCTGTTAAGATATATTTATGACAAAATCAGTTTTGCTTTGTGGTTTATCACAGGTGTAAAAGACACAAATGATGCCATCAAGTTGTTGTTTAGAGCACGCGTCTTTCAGGACTTCTGCTGTAATCAGGTTTTTATAGTTGTTCTAATGGTGAACAGGTAATTTCAGCAACACAATCACTGTTAGCAAGACATTATGTGTCAACAGCATATTTAAAGGTGCTCTAAGCGATCCTGGGTGACGTCACTTCTTGTTGACGTTCGAAGTATTTTCAAACAAAACGGAGGCTAGCTAGACCCTCCCTCCTCCTCATCCGCGCACTAACCCCTCAAACCACACCCCCAAACCCTTCTTGTCGGTTATTGGCTGGAACAGTCTGTTATGTTTCGTGGTGCGGGTAAGCCCAGTTTGTTTTTGTAGCCGTTTGTGAAGCCTGGGGTGTCCGCAGAGACCGCGTTTTTTTACAGTGTGTTCATGGGACAGACAGCTAGCGGATAGTGAGGAGATGTTTGCTGTATGTGACAAAAAATGTTTTGGCCTTAAAAACGCGTGACATCGCTTAGAGCACCTTTAAAGGTCACAGCACACTTGTGCAAAAGTGAGCTTTTAAACACCACAAATTTCAAATCCATGCATATAAATAACCATCCCAAATGTGTTCAGTGAAGTTCAGGTCTGAAATTTGTACAGGCCAGTCCAGTAAATGACTTCTTCTATCTACATGTGTGCACTTTGTGTGATTTTCATGAATGATTTTTCTGCATCTGTTTGTAGTGAGTGAAACTTAAATAAGTCCTCATCCTTCTTTTAGCCATTTGCACCGTAAGACAATGTAGAATTAAAGAAGCTGTCAAATCCATGCACATACATAAAATAACACACACAATCACTGGATTTTTAACCTTATTCCCAGTTTTATTTTATTTTTTGGTACAATATTTCACAATATTACTTTTTTTAGGCTCTATTTTTGATCAAACAAATGTAGCCTTGGAGCTACATTTAAATGATAATTGAAACCTTTAAATGATAGTGTATGCTATTTTGCAAACAATTTAATTGTAATCATAAAGCTATAAGTCTGAAACAAGAAACGTGTACAAAAGGTCATCAGAATTACTCTGATCATTTGCCTGATCCTCAGCTGGATGTTTTCTTGAACAAGGTTTGAAGTGAACAGCTTGTAGAATGTTCATTTTTGCATAAATTCACTGAGGTGGCATTGAGTGATTGTCTAAAGAAAAGAAAAATTAACAGAAACCAATTTACAACCCCAAATCAGAAAAAGTTGGGACATTTTGTAAAATGCAATAAAATCAAGAATCTGTTATTTGGTCATTCTTTTTAACGTTTTTTTTAACTGACAAAAGTACAAAGAAAAGTTTTCCAATGTTTTCACTGACCAACATAATTGTATTTTGTAAATATGAACACATTTTGATTTTGATGGCTGCAACACACCCCAAAAAAGTTGGGACAGAGATATGTTTACCACTGTGTCACATCACCTTTCCTTTTAATTACACTTTTTAATCATTTGGGAGTTGAGGATACTAAATGTTGGAGTTTTGCTAGTGGAATATTTGCCCAATCTTGTCTGATACAAGTCAGCCGCTCAACAGTCTGTGGTCATCGTTGCCTGATTCTCCTTTTCATGATGGGTCATACATGTTCCATAAGAGACATATCTGGACTGCAGTAAGGCAGGCAGGCACATCCCTTCTATGGTGCAGAGTGTCTAGAAACCACGCAGTTTTAGCATGTGCAGAATGAGGCCTGGCATTGTCTTGCTTCCCAGTAAAGATGTCATCTTGATGGCAGTTTATGTCTCTGTACAATCCAAATATATGCCTCCATGTCAATGGTACCTTCACAATAATGCAAGTTACCCATACCGTTTGCAATGATGCACCTCAATACCAGGACAGATGTTTGCTTTAGCACCTGTTGCTGGTGAAAGTCTGGTTGGTCCCTTTCGTCTTTGGGACTGAGAACTCAATTCCATTTTCTTCCAAACACAAGCTGAAACATGGACTCATCTGACCACACACACATTCAGTGGGAATGTCTCTTCTAGACCATGTGAGATGAGCTCAGGCCCAGAGAACTCGCCGTTATCTCCACATAGAACTGATGTAGAGCTTTCTCCTTGTGTAACAGAGATTCAAGTGGCATTTCTTGATGCAGCGTCAGACTGTGTTCAGTGAAAATGGTTTTCCAAAGTCCTCCTGAGCACATGTGGCTTTATTTAACAGAGCAGCATGATGGTATCTTGTGCAATGCCATCTGAGGGCTCGAAGGTCACGCACAATCCATTCAACAGAGGTTTCCTCTGAATTCCCTGAATCTTGTGACAATATTATGTATGGAAGATGATGAAAGGCATAAATGCTTTGCAATCTTGCATTGAGAAATGTGATTTTTTAATTGTTTGACAATTCTCTTATAATAGTGTTGAGCCCATCTTTGCTTAAAAAGACTGAGAAGCTCTTTTACACCCAAACACGATACCCTCAACTATTACCAATTCACCTGCTCATTGTGGACTGTTTCAAAAGAGTTGGATAATCTAATTTGGATAATCTTTTCACTTTTATGTCAACTTTTTTGGGGTGTGTTGCAGCCATCAAAATCCAAATTTGTTCATATTTACAAAATACAATTATGTTGGTCAGTGAAAACATTGGAAAACGTTTCTTTGTACTTTTGTCAGCTAATAAAAGGTTAAATAGAATGAACAAATCACAGATTCTTGATTTTATTGCATTTTACAAAATGTCCCAACTTTTTCTGATTTGGGGTTGCTGTAGAAAAAAGTACAACATTCATGCATCTTATGAATATATATATACACACACACGTGTTCATATCCTGTTATATTCAAATAATTAAAATAATAACTTAATTTCTTATTGTATAAAGTTTTTGAAATTTTAATACCTTGTCCCCAAACGTGCAGGGGCAGGGTCCATCAGGATTTTCTTCAAGATATTTAGGTTGTTTACTCTTTATCAGTTCATGGAATGTGTCTTTAGTAAAGTCAACCTGTGAATATAAAGACAAATACACACATTTGTCATGTTGACTTTGTGGCTGTAATGAGATCAGAATGTTAACCTTCAAATTCAATTTGCAGTTTAAAGTTCACTGACAGAAAACACATACGTCGTTAAGGTGCCTCAACCAAGTACTTGAGAATAAATCAGAGAGGTAGACTTTCCTCTGTTGATCGTAATCAGTGGGAGTGTTTTCGATATATTTGTGACATGAAGCCAACGCAAAGACTGGGTGACAGAAAATGGATTATTGTTATACACACAACTTTCAAATAAAAAACTAGTGTGACTCTGGTAACAAATAAGGCAGGATCATTAGTTGTGGTTTTCATATAGCATCTTACCGTTTACATTATTGGGAAGTCCTTTGAACATCGATCCAGAGTAATCGCTGTCCATGTATATCACCATCTGCAGCACATACACATGATGAGGAAATAGTAAGATATTTATAAATGTGTATGACTCATTCCCTTTACTTAAGCGGTTTTATATCACTACAGGTTGTTGTTGCCCCTTTCAAAAGCGTTGCAGTAGCAGTTGTGATAGTATAGGCCTAATGTGACTGTAGGGTAAGATGTACCTACTAGAAATAGAGGAGTAGGAAAAAGAATCGCAAGGTCTGAATTTAAGATGGGTATTTGTTAAGTAAGGAAGGTTGAAGATCTCTCTCTCTCTCTCTCTCTCTCTCTCTCTCTCTCTCTCTCTCTCTCTCTCTCTCTCTCTCTCTCTCTCTCTCTCTCTCTCTCTCTCTCTCTCTACTGCCATTCAAAAGTTTTAGATCGGTAAGATTTTTAATGTTTTAAAAAAAACCTCTTCTGCTCACCAAGGCCGCAAAAAAAAAATATATTGTAAAATTTTATGACAATTTAAAATAACTTTTATTTTTATTTTAATATATTTTTTAAATATATTATATTCATTCCTGTGATCAAAGCAGAATTTTCAGCATCATTACTCCAGTCTTCAGTGTCACATGATCCTTCAGAAATCATTCTAAAATGCTGATTTGATGCTCAAAAAACATTCATTATTATTATGCTGAAAATTCTTTGATGAATAGAAAGTTAAAAATAACAGCATTTATTAGATATAAAATCTTTTGTAACATGTTGAAAATTCTTTGATGAATAGAAAGTTAAAAATAACAGCATTTATTAGATATAAAATCTTTTGTAACATTCAAAAACTTTTGATCAATTTAATTATTCCATTATCAATAAAAGTATTGATTTATTATATATATATATATATATATATATATATATATATATATATATATATATATATATATATATATATATATATATATATATATATATATATATATATATAAAATCTTATTGACCCCAAACTTTTGACCGGTAGTGTTTAATGTTACCAAGCTTTCTATTTCAGATAAATGCTGTTCTTTTGAACTTCCTATTCATCAAATAATCCTGAAATAAAAATGTAAATAAATTGAGCGTCAGCGTCAGTTCTGGCAGGCCAGGTAGTCAAGCTGCTGCTTATGCTATTTGCTATCAACACTGTCCCGTCAGCTGATCTGCTCCAGCTGAGCTGCATTAGCTGGTTAACTCCCCTCGCTGCTCAATGGCCAAAGCTCAAACAAGGCGCCCTATTTAAAGCTCATTCACCTTGCTCATACATGCTTGCTGCTCGCTCTTCGCTTCTGCTGCAATATTGACACAGGACTCGACGTGATTCATTCTCCATTCATCTCTGAAAATCTTCACGAAGCTAAGTTCCTTTTTAATATTCATTGCTTAAAGCTATCAGTGTGTTGGCAACATGCTTCTTGTTAATGCTATCCGTGTGGCATTTGGGCTTATCTAACTAATCGTTTTCATAAAATGCTTATGCGATCATATTGGCTACATGCGTTATCTGTTGTCATTGGCAACTGATCGCGTTGCTCACGCTGGCTTTTACCACTATGCAGCGCAGATTCAAACAGCTTGCTGTGATAGGAATTAACTTCTGCGGACTGCCTCCGGACCGTATACAGCTCATTCTTACGCATTGTGCAACAACTACGGCGGCGACACTCGCTCCGGTTTAACCCTTTAAGCTATGGGGCGGTGGTTTCTGCTGCTTACGAACGATACCTCCGTCCCGATGTTCGGGATATTCTTGACGCCCAGAAGCCATGAGCTCAAGTCTCTGATTTGTTTCGTTAATAAAACACATTTGATCATTATTTTGCTCGCGCTCTGCAGTTAACGCCCCTGAATGCGCTATCAGCTGTTAATTTATTCATAGAGCTCGTTCTCAGAGGTGGATTATCTATCCATAGAACTTACACTGTAGACTGTCAAACAGTAAAATACAGATAATCTAGGTAACAGCATGTTTTAGCTATTGCGGTCTTGATTAAGTCATTTCAGTAATTAATTAATATTTTTACTATTATAAATCGCTAAATTAGGGCGGCTCAGTCGACACCGTTCGAGACACTCAATTTTGTTTTGGGGGGAATAGCTCATGTAGTCAAATAAATCATCCTCTGTATCACAGAGGATTGCCAGGTGTGGTTTTGTTTGGGGTGATGTTTTAGCTCTCACAGTCTAAAACTGTGTGAGCGTTCCCTAATGCTGCTGCTGCTGTCCTCTGACTCTCTGCTATTTCATGGTGCTCATGAAAGGTCAGAGGACTCCCTGAACAGAGCCATACCGCCAAATTTCAATTCAGGAACATCAACCTGTTTGCAATCTATTCAATTAAATTCTAAATTATTTTGTCTGTGTGTTCATGACTTAATGGACCTGACAGAAATTGAGCGTCAGCGTCAGTTCTGGCAGGCCAGGTAGTCAAGCTGCTGCTTATGCTATTTGCTATCAACACTGTCCCGTCAGCTGATCTGCTCCAGCTGAGCCGCATTAGCTGGTTAACTCCCCTCGCTGCTCAATGGCCAAAGCTCAAACAAGGCGCCCTATTTAAAGCTCATTCACCTTGCTCATACATGCTTGCTGCTCGCTCTGCTGGCTCGCTGTTCGCTTCTGCTGCCCGCCACCTCCCCAGCTCCTCCTTATGCATAGCGTGGCATTTGCTATGTCATGTTGCTTGCTCTGTTCACAGGGGGATGTTTTAGCTCTCACAGTCTAAAACTGTGTGAGCGTTCCCTAATGCTGCTGCTGCTGTCCTCTGACTCTCTGCTATTTCATGGTGCTCATGAAAGGTCAGAGGACTCCCTGAACAGAGCCATACCGCCAAATTTCAATTCAGGAACATCAACCTGTTTGCAATCTATTCAATTAAATTCTAAATTATTTTGTCTGTGTGTTCTTGACTTAATGGACCTGACAGAACTGTTTTCAACATTGATAATAATGAGAAATGTTTCTTGAGCATCAAATCAGCATATTAGAATGATTTCTGAAGGATCATGTGACACTGAAGACTGGAGTAATGATGCTGAAAATTCAGTTTTGATCACAGGAATAAATTACAGTTAACTATATATTCACATAGAAAACAGCTGTTTAAAATTGTAATAATATTTCACAATATTACAGTTTTTGTTTTTTAAATCAAATAAATGCAGCCTTAGTGAGCAGAAGAGACTTTAAAAAAAAACATAACAAATCTTACCGATCAAAAACATTTGAACTGCATTGTGTGTGCATATATATATATATATATATATATATATATATATATACACTCACCTAAAGGATTATTAGGAACACCATACTAATACTGTGTTTGAACCCCTTTCGCCTTCAGAACTGCCTTAATTCTACGTGGCATTGATTCAACAAGGTGCTGAAAGCATTCTTTAGAAATGTTGGCCCATATTGATAGGATAGCATCTTGCAGTTGATGGAGATTTGTGGGATGCACATCCAGGGCACGAAGCTCCCGTTCCACCACATCCCAAAGATGCTCTATTGGGTCGAGATCTGGTGACTGTGGGGACCATTTTAGTAAAGTGAACTCATTGTCATGTTCAAGAAACCAATTTGAAATGATTCGAGCTTTGTGACATGGTGCATTATCCTGCTGGAAGTAGCCATCAGAGGATGGGTAGATGGTGGCCATAAAGGGATGGACATGGTCAGAAACAATGCTCAGGTAGGCCGTGGCATTTAAACGATGCCCAATTGGCACTAAGGGGCCTAAAGTGTGCCAAGAAAACATCCCCCACACCATTACACCACCACCACCACCAGCCTGCACAGCGGTAACAAGGCATGATGGATCCATGTTCTCATTCTGTTTACGCCAAATTCTGACTCTACCATCTGAATGTCTCAACAGAAATCGAGACTCATCAGACCAGGCAACATTTTTCCAGTCTTCAACTGTCCAATTTTGGTGAGCTCTTGCAAATTGTAGCCTCTTTTTCCTATTTGTAGTGGAGATGAGTGGTACCCGGTGGGGTCTTCTGCTGTTGTAGCCCATCCGCCTCAAGGTTGTGCGTGTTGTGGCTTCACAAATGCTTTGCTGCATACCTCGGTTGTAACGAGTGGTTATTTCAGTCAAAGTTGCTCTTCTATCAGCAGTCGGCCCATTCTCCTCTGACCTCTAGCATCAACAAGGCATTTTCGCCCACAGGACTGCCGCATACTGGATGTTTTTCCCTTTTCACACCATTCTTTGTAAACCCTAGAAATGGTTGTGCATGAAAATCCCAGTAACTGAGCAGATTGTGAAATACTCAGACCGGCCGGTCTGGCACCAACAACCATGCCACGCTCAAAATTGCTTAAATCACCTTTCTTTCCCATTCTGACATTCAGTTTGGAGTTCAGGAGATTGTCTTGACCAGGACCACACCCCTAAATGCATTGAAGCAACTGCCATGTGATTGGTTGATTTGATAATTGCATTAATGAGAAATTGAACAGGTGTTCCTAATAATCCTTTAGGTGAGTGTGTGTGTATGTATATATATATATATATATATATATATATATATATATATATATATATATATATATATATTAAAATCATGTTTATAATACGTAAAAATCATGTGAACATTACTGAATACATACCTTTGAAAATTTTCTTTTTCTATGCATTTTCTTGAGCGTGTGATTGAGATCTTTAGGATTAAGCTGTCATAAAACATAATGAATTAATGGTCTAGAAGTCAGCAGGTTGTCAGATTAAACACAAACTATTTCCTTATCCTTATTTACATGCAAAATCTTGAATTAATCGTTTTATTCCCTGAAATTACCATTTCATACTGGGTAAATAGTCATTTTTTGAGATGATCACTTATAAACAACCATTAAAAGCAAATAAATTAATAATAATAAATTGAAATTTTTTTATAAAATTGTTGTACGTTTTGTCAATTGTGTATCCATAGATACACTTATAAATGTGATGCTAGTTCTTTCTTTTTACTATATTAGTATTATTATATTTTTTCATGTTCAGATAAAAGATTCCTTAACATTTATTGGTTTTCTGAGAAATTTT